GGAGTGTGAGGTCTATGGAGGTGCTAAACTCCCAAAGATCCTTTTGGGAACCAACAGATGATGGATTAATATATTTCATAACAATCTCCATGGAGACCAAAGCTGGGCTGGCGTGCTCCAGGCTGATGGTGATAGAAAACCCTGTTGGCAATGTGGATTAGTGGGTGCTCCTGTCAGAGTCAGAGGCTACCCTGGATGATGTCGTTTATCTCAAGTGTAAATCAGATGTGACTCAGCGGCAGACGCTGCGCAGCCAAACATGCAGAAAAGTCGCGTCAGTGTTGAATCAAAGCCTGAAACACAGATCATTATTTCAAGAGAGTTATGAGAATGCCATTAGTTTCAAGAAGATGATCAGCACTGCTGAAGAAGTGAAAGCCAAGAATTAGAGATATACTGATAGGAAGCTCTTTGGATTTATTAACTGTTTTGTTTGGACTTATTAAAAAGGAATGGCACCTGTTAAAGTATATCACAGGAATGAGCTATCTAGCAGCCCCAGGGCTGTGACTGAAGGGGAGCTCTATGATAAGGTGAGGGCTCTCTATTGCTTTCCAATGACGAGGCACTCAGTTTAAAAAAAAAAAAAAGTTTTGCTTTATAAATTGCTTGTTCAATTCAAGAGTTTTCTCGAGCAAATGGCCCAATTCTCATGAAATACATATATCTGGGCATGAGTCTGAGACATTTATGGTAAATATGACAATTCAAAGTACTCCCATAGCTGTGTTATTTAAGGACAGGAGCCAGCCCTGCCAGGGCAGTCGGTATTCCTGCCTCCTGAGGGGCATTTACTGGGGAGACCTTGGCAGTACCCAAAATATTGCCATTGCTGTGGAGAACACATACAAGTGATAGTGCTTTGACCATTCTTTTTTTGCTGTCTCTTCACAGTGGTATTTCAGGCTGCTGAACTGCAGGCTGTGCCCTATGTCTGTCTTTACCGAAGCATTTCTGTAGCTACTGGTGCACTTCAGGTGCTGCAGGAAACAGACATGTTCCCTCATCCCCATCTTTCCACCAGCCTCCTCGTGCACATCCTGCAGGCTTTGCATAAGCAAGAGCCACAGCTGAAGCAGCTTGGGGCTGCCCCTAGCAGCAGGAGCATCCCATCTCTTTCTATTTCCTCTTGCTGTCTCTCATCTCTTTCAGTGTTTAGTCGCATTTTGGTGTCGGGAGCTTTCTCTCAGTGCAGAAGTGAGCTGGGTACTCTGAGGTTTGAGTCACTCACTGTACATACACACCCCTGGGTCCTTTCAGAGAGGTGTTTCTAATCCCTTTCCTTGAGGGTGTGTTTGCCCCCCTGCTGCCTGCTATGGTCCCCACCACCTTGCTGCCTCTGAGGTTTTCTGCTGTGTGTCTTAATAAGCAAGTACAAGTCACAAGGTAAGATAAATCTCTTCATCTCCTTTTGTTACATCTGTAACAGCCTTTGAGTCATGTCAAAACAACTCTGGGCTCACTTACCTGCATTCAGGAAATTCTTCTTTACCAATGTACACTTCAGACTGTGTAAAAATGAGGCAATTTCTTTTAAATTGTAATTGTCAGTGAGAACTTTGAGACACAAAAGATGCAATCCTGCTATGTGGAAGGTTAAAGAGCGTAGCTTGATAGGTTCTAAAATACTTTTGCAGGTGGATTTCCAACATGTACCTGAGCTATTTACCATGCCACTTCAACTAATTGTTTCTATTCAGACCATTTTCCTTTTCATTTTAAAAGTAGCGATGTGTTGAACCTTGCCAGAAAAACTGAGTCAGCTGGTTACCTTTCTTTTTTGGAAAATAATCATTCTCTCCCCCTATGATACTGCAATAAGATCAGACATCCTGTTTTACACTGTTTTCCACCACTGCCCCATGGGGATGATTGGTCTTTTGTGCATACTCTTTTTTTTTTCCATTTGGTCAAATTTCGTTGCATCTTATCATTATTAAAAGTTAGAGAAGAGATTGAAGACTGATTACAAGAATATGGTGTACTGTGGGAAAAGTCTAGTTGTACAAAAGCTTTATTTAGAGCCAACTAGTTCGTGTTCTGAAAAAGCTACTGCAGACATCCCTGTTGTTTTTATTGATCTTATAGATTCAGTATGGGGGCATTTAGAGTTTAGCTTTGCTTTGGAGACTGGCATATTTTATTTGAGTTTGCTCAAATTTCAACAGATTAAAATGATCTGACAGCTTTTTGAATGTTGGTCTGGAAAAATAGTTTCTCATACAAGGTGAGACAGCTGTCTCCAGAAGAAGAGTTATCCCTCTACATTGTCACCAGATTTCCTGATGTCCAGAAACTCTGGTCAGGTAGGAAGCCTCTGCCAGGGCAGCCTGGCAGGTGGCATTGGGTCCAGCATCCTGCTCTGCAGGCACCTCTCTTCTTGCTGGCACTGTGCCTCCTTCTGGGGCTTCAATCAATTCAGATCAAGCAAGTCCTGAAAATCAGCTGGGAATCCAATCCCCAACTCCCTATGCCATGTCCCTCGCTTTCCAAATCTTTACTGCAGTGGCATTTTCTGTATTTTAAACAGAAATGTTTCAAAACTGTGATATTCCCAAGAATATACAATAGTGCTGTAGTTGCTATTTTACTTAATATTAAAAGGTTAAGAAGCCCATGAAAACATATAGCTGTGTGGAAATTAATGATGCTTATCTCTTGTAAACTACTGCTGTATGTGTACCTATCCACTCATAATGTTTTAAAATATACATAGCAGAGTGCAGATAGTGATAACACATTTGATTTTATCTGCTGCAAATATATATATATTTGTATGTCAGACAAATAACTTCTCTTTCTACACTCTCTATTGATAGAATCCATATAAGATTTAATCTGAGTGTGCTTTTCCATGTTATTCATCTCAACTGTGCACTCAGTAACTTCAAATATTTAAATTGGTTGAAAGTTAGAATATTAATGGCTGTTCTTAGAAATTTAGTAACAGTTACATTTTCCCAGCTGATGGATACTGTCACAAATGGCTACTGCAGGAGTGTAGGTAGGTAATTACTCAGCGACAATTAGGATCTTAGCCCAAGTATATGAAGATTTCCTAGTATATGTAAAGGGAAACACTGGAGCACTTTGAGATCCTGCTTGCTGTAGGAGTGTGTTACCAATCCTAGCTGATAAACCTTGGAGCAGCTGTTGGCAGCAGTGTTGTGTATCACCTAGGTGCTAGGTCTGGGAGAGTGCAGGTTACCCCCTCCAGAGGACACAGTATTTGGTGTAGATTAATGTTGTTTACTCTTAAAATATCAATCCTGGTAAAAGAGAAGACTGCTAAGGAGAAATACAGTTTCTCTCCAAAAGTGCAGGTTTTCAATTAGAAAGACAGAAAAAGAAGCATAAAATTTGCAGAGAATTCAGCAGGCAAGGAAGCAAGCCGTGTGCAATGTTACCCTGCAACTAGCTACCTCCTCTTAGTGCAGACAGAACACATGCTTCATTTAAAACCTGTTTTTAAATACACCCCTAATTATGAAATCATTACCCGAGACCTGCGTGATAAGGAAAGAAGAATTATTATATTAACCTGGGGTCCTCCGTGAACTCAGAGGCATCACAAAGCAGCTCTCCTGCAGTCAAAGCCTGCGCACTCCCTCTTTTCTCTCATCCAGTGAGTCACTTTTTCCTTTTAATCTCCTATTAAAATCCTTTCCATCCTCTTCAGTTTATGACTCTGTTGCTGCAAGGTGGTTTGTGGCACTCGGTATGGCTAATCCTTGGGATCGCATCGTATTGAGAACAGAATAATTGAAAACAGCTTGAAGCAGTTGTAGTTAGGCACACAAATCAATGACAGATAATCATTTAAGCACAAACTGAAACAGACATTTACATGGAAAATAATCATGGCCTTGGAGTTACACCCTGTTCTTGCCATACAAAATCTCTCATGGATTTGGCAGAGTACCATCGGATGCAAAATCTCATTGCCAACGTGCCCATTCCTTTGAGACAGCCCTGGCAAACCCCTGCCGGAAATCTGAGCTCAGCTGTAAATAGGTTTGCATGAAGAGCTGTCCACCTTTGGGTGAAATAAAACTGCACTGTGTGAGGGTCATGGTCTGAGATGAGCAGCCCAGAGCAGTGCAAAGCCACAAGGCTTTATGTGTGTGGCTGCATCTCCCCTTTCAGGCTTCTGCTCCCATCCCAAGGCCCCACCAAGGGAGGGGTTATGCTCAGGTGCACTCTTCTGGGTGTGGAAGAGAAATGATAATGAAGAAAAATTCCTACATTGGAATGTTTCCTGGCTTGGTAGTGCAGATGGGAGCACATATTTCCCTGTCATTTTGCACTGACAATCATATTCATACCAGCTGGTTAAAATGTTTTAATAAATGATTACCTGATGAGAACACTTTATCATGGCTATGGTGCTGGGCTTTGCTCATTTTTGCCACATCCAAATAACCATTCAAATTAAAAAGCAGAAAAAACCCCAATATAATTTAGAATCTTTAGAAAGACACTCGGAAACCTAAGTCCCAACTCCCCTAAAGAGCTCTAATTTGAAGAAAATATGTTGGGGATGTTATATGCTGTCTGTTGCTTGTCCTCAGGGGCTGGAAGAGCTGAGCCTCCATCCCTGTCTGAGGGTCCATTCCATAGCCAGATGAGTAAGTGAGCATTGTTATTTGTGTGGGTCCCACAGCTCTGAATTTCTCTGGGTGAATTTCTCTACAGAGAATATTCCAGTGTGAATATTCCTCTCTGCTTCTTTGTGAGGCTGGGAGCCACAGCTGGCCCAGCACCACCCAGCTCTCTCACTTCTCTCCTGGCTGCAGTGTCTCTGCCAGGAGCTGGTGCCCTGCTGCTGCTGTGATGCACATGCAAGCACAGAAACCATCCCAAAAGGACTGGTCTGGTAAGTTATTACTAGTCACATCTGCTTATACTTATAAGTGGGCAAGTGGGGTTTTAGCCTATTATTTAACCTTTTGCTTTGAAAACATCAACACCTGCACCAGAGAAGTTTCAAAAGTTTAGTTGCCAGTTTTTCTTCCACTTTACATGACTCTGGTGAAAGGGTATTATTTATCAAACTAAGAGTATATTATAATCTTTGCAAAATGGTAAAGATCAAAGACTACCTTGCATCAAGCAGAATTACAGTGCCATAACATTTTTTCTTGTTACAGCTGATATCAATCACAGCATGACAGCAAGCCACAGAGAATATTTTTCACTCGGTATCACTGACACTACAACATCTGAAATACAGCAGCCAGCTAGCATGTGCTCTGGGTGTGAAAGGGAGCAACCGGCAGCATCAGTAAGTGCCCTCAGTATCAGTGCCATTAAGTGCAGCCATTTGGCAGCAAATGCATGCACACAACTTTAATTCTGCCCACGGCTGGTATGGCCTCGTAAGGGAAGAGATAAAAGCCTTTATGAGAGAAGAGGGCTTGATTTCAAGTGACAGTGGTGACATTTTCAGCAATGACCCCCGAGTGCGGCAGAGTCTGCCATATGATACTGCTGCCCCAAAGGCATGGGCACCACCTTCCTCTCTCTGGGAAGAGGTGGGAATTTGGATGAGTGGTGAGGCACCGACCCAGCAGAGCCCTGAATAACATCTGGCTCTGCACACAGTGCCACTGCCAGCAGCTTTCCTGCACCAGCCGTGAGCCAGTTACTTTCTTCCCACGACTCACAATCATATCTTTGTTTTGTTTAGGCTTGAGAGTCTTTTCACCATGGTCACAGACTACCCAAGGAAAGGAATGAGATTTCTCTTGCTCCTCCCCAGGACCCTGCCAGGCTGGTGAGTTCTACAGTTCCAGCACTTAAAGTCCTGCATGCATTGTGTTCCCCAGACTTACCTCTGGGAGCATCTGGTGGAGAACAGAAAGGAAAGGGGAATTATGCGAGATCTGTTTGCGTACATATCCCTTCCATCTCTCCTCTGCACAACAAAAGCCAGCCCATGTACTTCTTGCAATAGATACAAGTCCATAGCATCTTTCCATGCTGTGCTCACAGCCTGTGCTTCTGCCAAGTGCCACCTGAGCTCCCAGCCCCCCTGGGCCCTGCAGCAGGAGCTTGCAGCAGTGGGGCACACTGAGGTGCATCCTGCTGTGAGACAGCACCAGCAGGAGCAGCAGGGACCAGCCTGTGGAGCCAGTGCTCTGCTGCACACAGGTGGGAGCCCAGGAGCTCCAGGCAGAGCGAGGCTGTAGTTTTATTGAGCAGTATCGATTCTGGCAGTGACTGGAGCACTTTGGTTTCTGTATCAGGGTTATATTAATGTTACAATTTCATAAAATGCAACTTCACTTCAAATGGTCCTGCAGCTGTTTCTCAGGCACTTCAATCTCTTTGCAATGAAGAAGAAACAAAGCAAATTCAGTTGTACCTTGTGTACAAGGTTCAACAAATGTAAACCTCTTGCATTTTAAGGATTCTTTTGCTATTTGAATACAAAACTGCATGGTTTAAGACAAAGTGCCCATCTTCAGTTTTTCAGACTTCTTTTTCTTTGCTGCTGAGAACCACACAATGTACTTCCCTGCCAGTTACTAAAATGCTTCTAAAAACTTGAAGAATTATTTGAAAAAGGGTATTCCTATTCCTTATGCATAAAACATGCATGCATATTCATATAAAACATTTAGAAAAATTTGTACCAGTTATAATTAGCATGTTTTGTGCATCTATTTTCTTTGCTATTAAATAACAAATTTGTGGTAACCATAGCAACTGGAACATCACATGATACTGGTGCTATTTTAGGGATAACACAAGTACCTTTCTTAAAGAAGCATTCACACCTCTAAGCTATGAATTTTAATAATTTTCACGATAAAGTATTTGTTGGGTAGATTGTATTCGTTCCTCACTCTAATGTTGATTTAATGTGGAATGCACTACCTTTCATTGCAGTGCCTATGACCACTTAAAAGCTGCGATGAGTTCCTCTTGTTTTGCAAAAAGGAAAGTGACTTAAGAAAGGTAAAAGAGAAGCAACGTGTGTTGAGGGGGAAAGTACAATAAAATGAAGGATTTCTCTTATTGTTTCTGGGGAAGGAGCTCCCATTGGTCATGTGCCTCTTCATGCATGAATGGAAGAAAGAAGGAAGGATGTACTTTAATCCTGGATTGGTATAACACCCACTGGAATAAGCCAGAGGTGTTGCATCAGCTCTAGCGGAAGATGGGAGAGGCCCTTGGGAAGTTCTTTTGGGAAGAGACCAGTTTGGCCATCTAAGCCACTTCCCTCCTGCTGCAGTCAAGTGTGTTCTTCTACTAAGTATGTGCTGTACACCACACCTCATACTATGTGCCTTCCAAGACACCTCTGAGCCTCATAGCTAATGAGATAAAGAACAAGAGATCAAATGCCACAACAGCAACAAGCCATTGAAAGAGATTAGGTGGCAACAAGGTCAGTATCCACATGCTAGGGTAGGGATTCTCTAAAATAAAGTTTTCTATAGTGTCATATTAGAGATAAGAACAAAATGCCTCAAGAATCCCTGCCAATGTTGTGATGAATTGAGGAAAAATGGAAGGACATGGAAGAAATTCTCTTCAGTCTCTGAAACTGGTAATTCAGTTAATTGTGAGAATATAAGATAACCAAACAGGCGCAGATGAGAAATGAATGCTGTTAAAAATATGCTGCCCACACTGATGTTCTAATGAAAAATGCTGGTTGACATGATTAATTGTTTTATCATAGAAGTGTCTGTAGAGATGAAACCCACCCTGAGCTTTCAGGATGGTGTTATCCATCTCCCAGAGCAGAGGTAATGAGGGATCATTCACCCTGGGTGACTCAGGCAGGTGGTTTGGGTTAATACACACACCGAAGAGGCCATTAGGTAGGGAATTACTTTGCCTGAGTCCACCTGCCAAGGTGGAGTTTGGAGCAGAGGAATTTTACCAGAAGGTGAAGAAACATGCTGGGGTTGAGGAAGGGAGCCATGAACTGGAGCTCTGAGGAGACACAGGAGTATGTACAAAAAATGAGGGGTTGCAGGACCTGCCAGGGCTGTGCTGGCAAAGGGCCCTGATGCCCAGGCAGCATTTGGGGCTGGAGGGTGGAGCCCCTAGCACAGCTCAGCAAGCTGCAGGCAGGCTTGGGGTAAGTTGCAAGGAGTAAAAATTAAGGAGAAGTTCAAGTTTATAAACTCACCTAGATTAAAGTTTACAAATCTGAGCCAGACTAGGGGTATGAGCCCAAGTAAAGATTCAGAAAGTAATGCTTTGCCTCTGGCTCCACTCTGTTCTGCCTGCCTTCTGTTTTCCTCAATTCAGGTGTATCATTTGGAATTTTTTTTAACTTCATCCTTTCTTACTTCTGACTTCTGTTTTATCAAGAAAGTCTGATTCTTCTTTGTTTAAAAAAAATATAGGGGTTTTCTTTTCATGAATAATTACAAATTTTCTACTTCAGCTATTTGAAAATTATGGATTTTGTTTCAAAAAATGCTATAGCAAACAGATTGAAAAATAAATTAAAGCGAACATTTAGCTATCTCAAAAATTGAAAGTTTTGATTATCCTAAACTAACCCTTAATTGTTTTCTATCTTAGCTTGTCCCCCTAGATAAATAATCCATGATGGAGCAATCCTTTTTCACCCCTCTTTTGCTACACCCCTGGAGACTTGCAGTGCTTGTTTGAGGAGGCCCTGGCAGGATGTGCTGTGCAGGGGCTGCCTGAGAGAAGAAGCTCCCTGCTTCCCTCCCCGCTCACCCCATGGGTTGTGTTATCCCTTTGGGATTCAGCCTGCTTCATTCTCTCTTGCTGCAGCTCTTGCTGTGCCATGTGTTTCTCTGTCCCCTCCACCAGTGGTTGGGGCATCTTCTCCCTTTGCCTGTGCTCTGCATAGGGACTGGTTCTTGGCTTGGCTAAGGATCTCCATCTTCCCTCCCTCCAGCGCTTCCCTCATCTTCCATTCTTGTTCTCCTCCAAATGCCTGCTTCTTAAGGAAAGTTTTGGGAAAAGATCTAAAAAGGCAGCAGTTTTCAGGGGTTTCAGCTGAGCCTTGAGGGGTGAACCAAAAGTAAACCTATTAGAGGCAAAAAGGGAAAGTTGAACAAAATGTTTTTTCTCTTTCTGCAAGACAGGAACTTCCCAATCTACTTTCTGTTTGGAAGGGGAGCAACACAAAGAAAAGGTTTGGAAGATGCTGGCAAGTGATAAAATACAAAGACATTCTTTTTCTTATATAGTAAATGAATGGTTTTCTGCCTTGCCTTTTGTTAAAGCTCTTAATCCAGCCTGTAAATAGGCACTTTCCATTTGGACTGACTGTTTTAGATATGAGATTAGAGCTGATCTGAAGTAATAGGATGAGAAAACAGGAGAGAGATATATATGAAAGAGAATGATACATTGGCTCACACTTCTGAACTTTCTCTTGCAGCACTTCTCGTATACTGTATGTAAATGTTCTCAAGTACAAAGTGCACTTCATTTTACTGCAGACCTAAGCTAAGGCATGGGCTCTGAGAGCCTGGCTGTTTGATCCCCGGGGGAAGCCCACCTGCCTCAGGGCAAAGCACAGATTCTCTGCCATAAAGCAGAACTTGAGAGGTAATTTTGTTGTGTGGCCTGATTTAGGCTTACAAAATGCTGGAAGAACTCTGCATTTAAGGATGCTGGAAGTGGAGATTCACTCTCCCAGATCCCAGAAATGGCAATAGGAAGCCTGACCAAGCAAAAAAGTCAGCAAAACAGGGACTTGGGACCAAGAGAACTCTTAATCAAAAAACAGATTATCTTAAAAGGAAAACTGTATTTCACATTCATGAAAAAAATTTTACTTTTTAAGCTACACAAACTTTTGCAATGAAGCTATAGCGTTTCTGGCTGCTTCTTTGGGACTATTCCATGGCTTTCTGTGAGTAAGGCTGTGGCATTGTTCTTCTTGGATTTGGAAGCCCTTCAATTCATATTCAGCTGCTGTGGAAAAAATCCTAAAAATTCACAGACTTGTCCTGTTTCCAAAGACACTTCTGACCCAGGCAAAGTATTCTAAAATCCTTAATAATTTTCTGCTTACTGAAAAACTTCACTGACTGAATAGGAATTTTTCCCTAGTCAGATATTAAAGGCAAGAAGAGATTTCTAGTGTGATTCTTAAAGATTAACATATATATATATGTCTATAGGCACAGTGAGAATATAAAATATGATGCATATATTTTCTTCTAAATTTAAAATGAATACATTAATCACTTGCTTTCCATTCTGTATTTAGGAATATTTAGATGCTATTTGATGCTATTTATATTTTCCAGGGTACCTCTTCATAAGAATAATTTTTTTATTAGGTACTACTAGGGCTGTATTTTAGAAGATATTTTAAGCCATATAAAGAGATAAACTGCCAACCAGCACCATCAAGGTCATTTGAAAAAGATGCTCAGACTAGAGAGCTGCAAAAACAAACTTAGTTTCTTCCATTTCTTGTATTATACCTGTGAAAACCAAGTGGAACTTTGCAGATCAATAATTAGGCTCAAGGAAAAAAAAAAAAGTACTTGAACAAAATCTCTCTTGTGCTGCTTACATCTGCTTTATGCATCAGCAGAAGTAAAGATCAATATTTGTGAAAGTAGTGTCCTGAACAGATTTCCTTCCCCATTGAAAATACTGCATGACTAAATAGGAAACCTTTAGAGGAGGGAGTGCAGGATCTGCCCTGGGTTCCCAGTCTGAAGCTGTCAGGGCAGAGTTGGTTGCTTGTAACACTCCCAGCTTTTCCACTGAACAGTATGAACAACAGACTGACATGCATGTGCCTGCTCTCTTTTTATTTAAAATAGTCTTTATCTCCACTGTATACTGTTCCAAGCTATATGGGCAAGTTCTTCCAATCTGCTAGTGGCTTTTGTTTTCTTTTCAATGTAAACCTGTTATCTGTCAAATCCACGACTTACATTAAGAGCATTTTAAATGGTTTTCAGTATTTGTATATAATGCATGTTTTCCTGATCAGCTGAAAGCTGTAAAAAGTTTGCTTTGAATTCTTCCCTAAGATATCTTTTTAAATACCAGTAGAAGGGAAGTTTTAATTCTGTGCTTTAAGCAGTACAACCACTTGAATATCCCGTATTTCAAATACAAAGCCAGAGTATTTAAAACATAAAAATAAATCCTTTATTTGGCTTCAGTATCAGTATGACTGTTAATAAAAGGTGTGTTCTTCATTGCCTGTTTTAACATGACACGGAAAAGGTTTCATTTCAATTGAATTAAATCTCAACTAAGTTAACTAATAAACAGGAATATCAGGTGATGGCATGGCACCACCCAAGTTGCTAATGCAAAATGATGAGTGAGCAGTGAAAGGTCAGTCCTGCGACTGGGGCCTGCAGATGCAACCTGATTTTCATATTGATTGTGTTTTCCAGTGGGCTTCAGGTCAGGAGCTGAGACCTCGGGGCTTGCTCTGTCTGCAGCTGTCTCACTGTCTTCTTTGCTTACCTTGAGCAAGTTCTGCAATATTGCTGTACTGCTTCTCCAAGGATAAAATAGATCTAATGTTTATCAGTGTTGCAAAGGCATCAGCGCTTAGGAAAAGGTCTTAGGTGTTCCCTACGAGGAAGATGCTATGCACAGTAAAAGATTCACTCTGTATGTGTATGTATATATAATCTCAAGGGTTAATGTTTCTCTGCAGGATTGCAGGATATTTATTTTTACCCATTATTACATCCATTGTGAATTACTGTGCTTTTTTTACAAAATGGGTTTACAACCAGGAAAAGAGAAGATACAGGCACCTGTTCTGGGAGGGAAGTAACATAGAACTGTATATGTTATACCAAAAGCATTTGTTGATACATAACAGATCAATATGCAACTGCATAATAAGGTTGAGAGATGAGATTAAATGTTCAAATAGGTGTACTAATTAGAAGGGACATGTACATCCACGTATAGAGAACCTGACTGTGAGAAAATGACAGAGATTCAGCACTACAGTGAATTATAAATGTCAAATTACAAGGATGCATGTAAAAAAAGCTTGTAACTGTTAAGAACTAGACTCTGTATTCATGTGAAAGCTGTTGCCTTTATCATCTTCTTAGATCCCTCTAAGGTGTTCTGTCATTCACTGTCAAATTTTCTACGTAAGATAGTAAGACGTATGTCACACAAGTGTCCAAAACTGCTCCTCTCCCTTTGTCAGGACACACCAATATATTTAGAGGGATTTGTAAGCAGAAGGAATATTAAGCAGGAGATCTGCTTAAGTATTAGCAGTCAGTCACAGAATTTTTCCCCCTCGGATGTGACAAAATCGAACACATGATGCCCAAAATGTAGGGGAAAAGGGAAGCTGCAATGTGTGTTCAGATGGCTGTGGGCTCAATAGGTTATTAGCCATAGTCTGCACAACAAAAATGGATGCTAACTAAATTTTGATGTGCAAGAGCATGTGTTTAATTTGCAAGGTATTTTTTTAATTAAAAGGTAAATAGCATTTATAATTCTTCTCACAGACTGAGAGCAGCAATAACACCTACGGAGCTCTCAAGACACCTGAAGAACTACTTTGATGCATCTGGTCCCTGCGGTAGGTACATTTAACAGTTGACTACTTAAGTGATATTTTTTGTTTTTACACAACACTGGTTATTTCTTCTAAAAATTTCTAACCATCAGTTGCAAGATATTAGTTGCATGAAATGTGTAAAATACTCAACCATGAAAGTGTGGTGAAAGTACCTCCCCAAGTATAATTGACTTGACAAGACATTTACCGTGGTGCAGATGACTTGCATGTGAATGTGAAGGACTTCACATGAATATGAAGGGACAAAGTCTGTCTGCACAAGCTGCGTTCAGACCCTTCTGCACACAGGCCTCACAGACCACAGCAGTGGAATCACAGCTTCTGAGGGTTCCTTTTCTTAGCTATGTCCTCTCCTTCAACACAAGTTTCCAAGCTTGCAGAGTTTATAGTTCATTTCCTCTAAGGTCTTTGAAACTCAACACCCCATTACAGGTTTTGGGCAGTTGAAGTTCCTTCAGCAGAACCCATCCTTCAGCCAGGGTGCTCCTCACTCCCACATGCTGAGGCGAGTCCATGGCTGCACCCACGGCAGAAGCTCTCCAAAGGTTTCACGAATTTGTCAACAGGGCAGCTGAAGCCCAGAAAGGAACCGAATGGGAAGGCAGTGCCAGCTCAGAGGTGGGTGTTGTGCATGGTTGTGTCACCCTGCTCACTATACTGCTGCACTCTGAAACCTGAGCCTCTTCTGCTGGCCCCCAGCAGCACTCAGCAGCCACAACTGCTGTGGAGGGGACCTGCCCAGCTCTGAGAGACAGATGCCTCGCTTGCCAGTGGTCTTTAGGGACAGCATCTCCAGGTCATTTTCCAGTGTGGAGCCCAGCAGCTCACATTTTGTTAGGCTGCTTGAAGTGAGTACAATGGCTGGGAAGAGATGCGCGCTGCTGACACCAGTCTCTCTAATATGTTAAAGCTGGATCATGTTCTGCGCAGAGGGTCTGATGGTATCAGCCTCCAGAGAATCAGTGTCTGACACTCCCAGTCTGTTGTTCATATTGGTTTGGTCTCAGCTGAGCTATTTCTAACAACGAAGAACATATCTGAGCGAGTTACAATTTGCTGTAATCATATTTTTCCAGTTTTTCTCTGTGATAATTACTCCCATAAATATCATTGCTTCACCTCAGCTCAACAGAGTGCTCTCTGTTTCTGTGCTCAGTCTCAACCTTCCGTACTTGGATTGCTGGGGAAGAGCAATGATAGCATTTGTTGTTACCAGAACCACTCCAGCTATGGGACTGTTGGGGTTTCCCGAGCTAGTTCTGTTTCTTTGCAGTATCAGCTGTTAAAAATTGCCTTCTGAATTGAAAATTGTGAGAAAATGCATTAAACTGCACCTATGTTTAAATTAATTAGTTAATGATAATAATAGTAATAATAATTCTTAAAGGTTTGAATTGGTTTTCAACCATGCAGAGACTTGAAAACCAGAACCCAGGATGCAGATTTTCAGTTAAATCTCTCTGGCTTTACTGCTGGTCCCTGGGCTTAGTTTAATGACAGAGAGTGTTTTTAATGTAATCAATGGGCTGAAGACCTCAGTAATTCTAGTCCCTAGCATGGATGCTAACAGCTTGTCTGAGAGCCTTGAAGCCCAAAGACTTTATAAGAGTATTGTCTGGTTTTGACTGCTGGTTAAGAGTTACAGAAACATTTCAACTTCAAAGTGCCAGGCACCAGCAGTACCCAGAAAGGAGATGCTTGGCGTGAGACCTTAAGATGCAAGTGAGTATGTGGGAAATAAAAAGAGGCAAGAATAGAAAGATTGCTGCCCCATTTTAAAAGTGGTAAAATGTGGCAAAAGACTAAAGGACTAGCTAAAGTTACCTCTGTTGCCTGTGGCAGACCTGGCATTTGAAGCCATGTCTCCAGATTTCCAATGTACCCTCTTAACTACAAGGCCATTCCTCCCCTCCAGAAAATGATATATAGGTATATAAATGTGCATTGATGTAATGCCAAGTTATAAACCACAAGCCTTTCAGAACTCATGTCCCTGATAGATTACAAAAGAACTTGAAGTCAGGAGAATTGTGGTTTGTCTGACCTTATGCTAATCATTCTCCCTACTTGTGTCTTGGTCAAACTGAAAATGGATAGAATAATGAACCCTTTTGAAAACTGTAATTTCTGGGTGTTGGTCATGACCCAGTTTTTATAAGTTGCTAGGGTATGGGTATAATCAGGGAAATGGAGATTCTATCTTATGAGACAAGACTGAAAAGCTTGATTTAAACAAAAGAAATTATGAGAAGGAATATTAGTACACTGTGAGGGGAGTAAATATCAGAACTAATTAAGTTCAAGGACAAAATTGGCATCCGAACAAATGGATGTAAATGGGCCCCTAATAAACACAGCCTGGAAATTTTAAGCCAAATTATGAGATTCTGGAACAGTTTACCAAGGGGAATAGTAGAGCCAGAGAAAGTAAGGGCTTTTACGTGGATCTGAATCAGTTTGTGAACTGGGTATCATGCCTCAGAGAACCAGTCTGTCATCCAGACAAGTCCAGTGTCCCCAGAACACCACCAGGATGTAACATCAGGTGATGTTCTGGAAAAACATTGTGAATGGCTACTTCTGTCTCAAATTCCATCCTTTGTATTCTGTTTTCTAGGCTCCTCAGTTCAGAATCTCTTCAATTCTCTTATTATCTCACCAGCCTCGCATTTGAGGTGTTATTCAATATTTCCAGGTAATCCTTCTTTGCTTTCAAGAGCCGATGCAGGAGCATACCTGGAACAGGTCAAGGTAACAACATTGAACTAGAAACTCCTCGTGTTGGCTGCTGAGGATGGGAGAGCGAGGTGGCGGCAGGGGCGTGCAGAGGCAGGTGGCAGGGCAGCACACACAGCGTTCTTCTAGAACAGCTGAAGCCTCTGTGCAGAGGCTGGACACTACCCCCACGGCGCATCCCTCTGGAGTAGACGCCTGCCGAGAGCCTGCTGGCAGCGTCTTCAGTGCCTTCCTTCCCGAGGGCAGGCGGCCGCTCCTGCTGCTGGAACAGGAGAGCGCAGATGCTGGCGCAGCCCCGCACCCCCGGCGTCCTGCCACGGGACGGGGCGGCAGACCCGGCTCGCCTCCTTTCCTTGCCCTGCCTGTGCCCACACCCTCGTCCCCCGCCGTCACCCCGGGCGGGGGCACCGCCTCTCCCCGGGCGGGCGGGGCGGGCGCTGCTGGGGCGGGCCCCGGCCCCGCCCGGCTGCGGCCCCGAGCGCGGCCAGCAGGGGTCTCCGCCGCTCCGCCCCGCTCCGCCCCGCAGGCGGGCTGCGCCCGGGGACGGCCCGGCCCGGCCCCGCTCCGCCGGCCCCGGCAGCCCCCCGGCAGCGCCCTCCCCCGCCTGCCCGCAGCCCCCGCCGCGACGGCGCTGCCGCGGCTCCGCGGGTGCGGCCCGGGCCGGCCGGGCCCCGAACGCCCCCGCGCAGCTTCCGCCCGCCGCGGCTCGGGGCCGGGAAAGCGGGACCGGCGGAGCGGCAGCCCCGGCCGGGATGGGCGGCGGCTGCCGGGAGACAAAAGGCCGGCGCGTGTCCGCCTCTGCTGCAGCGCGGGGTGTGCGGCCGCTGCCCCTCCCCGGGCCGCCTGCGGCAGGGACCGGGTCTGCCGCCCGACCGCAGCCCAGCCGCCCTCCCCGCCTGGCTGCGGCTCTGGGAAGAGGCTGTCATACGTGAGGGGTGCTAGGCAGCGCGGCGCAGGCGGCCCGCGGGGGCCGGCGGCTTGCCCTCCGAGCGGATGCCGAAGCCCGTGTGCGCAGCGTTAACCCCGGGCAGGAAGCGGAGAGAGGGTAATAGAGCGAGTCCTTACAAGCCCGTGTGGAGGTGTGATGGGAAAAAGAAAGGGAGCGGCACATTTTATTAGGCACTGAATCTCCTGAATTATAAGTAGCAAAACCCTAACGCCGTAACTCTGGGCTAGTTGGGTTTTTTTATTCTGGTACAGCGTTTTGCTCGTTACCGCGTAAGCGGTGCCGGTGCGTGCGGAGGCACGGCAGAGCGTGACTGCCGGAGTGGCACCGGGCGGTGCCCAAAGTTCCCGCTGTCCCCGCAGGAGCAGGAAGCATCCCTTTGCGTTGGGGGGCGAGGGGCTGGGGCGGAAGGAGGGGCTGCTGCCGGGCTGCCCCCTCGCAGCCGCCGCCGGAGCCCGCCTGGCTTCCCGTGAGGTCTCCCTGCGATCAGGAGTGAGAGAAGCAAACTCTGAAGTTGTGCCCGAAGAAAAGTTGCCCGACTGGAGAAGTAGGGGAGATCCTGAGTGTCGCCACCTGCTCAATCCTGTTTGATCCTGGGTTCTTCCTGCTTTTTCTGCAAACCCAGGGTAACAGCAGAGTTTGCCTAGGAAGCTTGCCGTAGTTTTATGCAGACAAGGGGAGAAAGAAAACAACCCGTCTTCAGAGTGGCACCTCGCCTTGTTCAGTCTTCTCGTCTCCTGGCCAGGGCTGGAATGGAGGCTAAAGGCGGCCTGAGCAGTGCTGGTGCTGGCTCTCCCCACTCGTAGCCCCTCCTAAAGAAAACACGTCTGAGCCCTCGTGGTGAAGAACCAAATCCGACAAAAGTTGGATCTTTCTCGAAGAGGGGCCCGGGGGCGCCGAGCCCGGCGGCTCCCGTCCGCGGAGCGCTCGACAGCGGCGGAGCGCTCGCCGCGGCTGGGACTTGACCTGCAGAGGGCAATAGTTGGACGCAAATGCCAACAAAGGCAGCGGGGCTCGCTGGCTCGGTGCCGCGGCCGGGACCCGAGAATGCTGTGTAGGTAGGCAGCAGTGCTTAATTAATGTATATTGAAACAAAAGATCGGGTAAAGTGTTTGATTTGTCTTTAGGCTACGTTTTCAAGGCTAATCTAATTCATAACCGTTAGATTTCTTTAAATATATTAACACAAACTTCCAGGAGAATCATGGGGTTGACTCCAGAATTGCCCTAAATGATAATTGTTTACCGGAACGTTTACATTCAGCTGCTTGGATTCGTATTATTGGCGTTATTATTCTTTGCGACTCAGACAGGAGAGATGGAAACGAAGGGGAACTTTCCTAATTTTTGTAGCGATTGTCAGGGCGACCGCGCAGACTTTGTAGGAGGAGGCGGCAGCCGCCCGGCGCCCTGCCCGGCTGAGAGGGGCCATTGTGTGCGGGACCGGGCCCCGTTCAGCACCGGGCGGGCGGACAGCTCCGGCCCGGCCCGGCCCGGAGCCTCCGCCTGCGCTTGGGGCGGGCGGATGAGCACTCGCCTTCGCTTGCCCTAGCAGTCCTTCTCCCCGCTGGTAATGCATTCATCAGGGAGTGGAAAAGAGCATCCCGACGGGCGCACTTTGTCTCCCCGTCGGTGTGTGTAGACGCGGCTGCCGTAGGCGTCTGTGACTTGTGCACATATATGGCTTTAATAATTACACATAAGGCTCTATAACCTCATAATTCAAGAAAGACTAGAAAACGCGACCGAATTGGAGTGTTGGCAGCAGGGGTGATTGCAGGTCTGGATGCATACTCAGTCTCTTCCCAACTGGCCGCCCCCTTCCCCTCCCCCCCCCCCCCCCCCCCCCCCCCCCCCCCCCCCCAAATCATATTTATCTGAGATTATGTCAAATTTCAGTGATCGGAAATGTCTTGCCCAAGCCCCATTCCCACTGGAAAAAGTCAAAAGGGCTCCTGGCATTAAGACGACCTTGCGTCATTCCTGATGAAATTAGCAGAGCTACTTGTTTAGAGCTTTGCTAAGGATGCACTTTGGTGACAGTAAGAAGTAAGAAATTTGGGGTTTAACCCCACATCTAAGCAGGATCTGTCTGCTTTCACTAGCTGCAAAGCCTGAGACCAGCACTTGAAAGCGCCTTAGACCCGCAGTCCATTTTTCACTTGTCTTTAAGTGCAAGCGATGGGAATTGCTAACCTCGGCTAAGAAAATTTCATTTTCCCCATCTTGCTAAACGGTTCTGGTCGACATATGTTTGTTATCAGAGAGAGGTGCTATGAACACAGAGCCATTTTCTTAGCAGCTCTTTGACTCTGTGTTACCATAGTCCCACACGGCATTGGTCCTTTCCCGTTGGGAAGTCATGAATAAGAGACTATGAAGCTTGCACGTCAGATCTTCCTCAATTAATCCACCATTAGCATGTTCGGGATCCTCTACTGGATGGTTAACAGCAGCATTGGTAACTGTATGCTGTCCATACCCAATTATGCTCTGCTAAAAATGAACTCTGCAGAAGAACCTTCCTGAGCTGTCAGTGTCTCCCGTTTTCCTATTTTAACGCTTGTGTGTAGTGGCAGGCGACAGATGGTGTAGATCAGATCGATTTGATTGCATTAGGCGATTTTTTTTTCCTCCTCTCTCCCCCCGACTCCTTTTCTGGAAGCCCACATTCATCTGAGAGGCGATCGCCGGGGACATGGGAAGCAAGAGCAGCCGCCGATGTGTGAAAGCAACGAGACATGGCCAGCCAGAGGCGCCGGGGTCCCTTCACGGGGTTTGTTAACATGGTAATCCGGCACCAGGAGAGAAAGCTGCTTTCTGCTGCCCAGAGCCCATTCCCCATCACACATCAGATGACTCCCTGGCTTTACACACAGTTGGAGTTTTGCTCGAAACGTGGATTTAAAGGGTAAGCGCTTCAACGGAGGTGGATTTCTGGTTGTTACTCGGGTAGGTGGCAAAAGGAGCGATCTTCCAGCGATTTTAAAAAGAGGCTCCCTTTAAGCGGGCATGAATATTTGCTTCTTCCTTTCTTCTCTCTTTTTTTTTTTTTTTTTCCCTGCGCCCCCTCCCCTTTCACCAGCAAGCCCCCTAATTCAGAACAATTTCTTACACAGAAAGACGTCGCGCCTCTCTATTGACGGTTGGGATCAATATTCCCCCCTCTGAAATTTGCTTTTCGTGGAGAGCCCGAGCTCTGCTCAGACCTTCGCTCCTGATAGCTTAATTGTTTAATTCCCTCCATCCGATCCCCTCCCTTCTGTGTGTGTGTGTGCGATGTGTGCGTCCCCCTCCGCGGGCACGGCGGAGGTGCCCCCCGGGACCCTTCCGTGGCCCCGCCGGGCTGGCGCTCCGGCGCCCGGGCTCTTTTAGCGCGGAGCGGGGCGGCAGCGCCGATAAACATGGCTTTCCGGAGCCGCTGAACAAAGGTATTTAGTGCCGCGGCGCGCCGCCACGGGCACCTCCCGCACGCCGCGGAGAAGGTGCGAGGCGGGCAGCGCGGCGGGGGCTCGCGGCCCCGGTGCCGCGGCCGGGAGCGCCGGGGCCGGGGCGGGCAGGGGCGCGGGGCGGGCAGGGCCCCGGCGGCGGCGGCGGCGGCCCGGGAGCGGCGCGGCGGCGGCGCTCGGCGCTGTCCGTCGCCACGGGTGCTGAGGGGCCCGCGGGCGGGGGCGCGGCGGGCCGGGCCGGTGCGGGGCGGCGGGGCCGGGCACGGGAAGTTTCGGCGGGCGCTGCATTAGCGGGGAATAGTGGGGGGGCTGTTGTTCGGGGAGGGGAAGGGCAGTGTCAGATGGACACAGCCAGAACAGCGCTGGCGCCGCGCGGGGTTGCGTTTCCCCGAGAATCGCATTCTTTAATATTTAAAAAAAAAAAAAAAAAACAACAACCCAAAAAAAAAACAAACAAAAAAACCCAACCCCACGCAAAGTTTGGATTTCTGCCTAATTCTCGATGCATTTGTGGAGCGCCTCCCAATTTCGGAGAATATCGGTCTAGGGTATCAGTATAGAGTGTTTTCGCCATGACTCGGTGCATTTCACTTTTTCAAACGGCTTTTGTTCAAGTTGAAGGAAACCCACTGCATCAGTTATTTGAGTTCCAACAGCTAATAGGGTGACAGCCTTCAGTTTCACAGCAGGGAAAAATTACAGTGTTTGTTATTTACTTTCCAGCTGCCATTTAGAATACGACTAGAAAGCTTGCTCTGTTACAGGATACAGGAAATAACACCTAAAATGAGATTAAAACAGAGGAGAGTGTGTTGGAAATAATTTTTAATTTTTTTAAGCTAATGTAGCTATCGAAGTATTTTTTTTTCTCTCTCTCTCTTTGTTTTTATCATTTCTTTCAAATTCAAGTAAGAGTCTATGATACAAAACAAATGCTGTCTTCTCGTATGTTTTCATAGGAAGCATAGTGGTAATACGTCAACAGAGGCAAGGGCTCATGTTAAGGAAGAAATCTGTAGAAAAAGCAAGCATCTTGTATTAATTTCAGTTGGAATCTAATCAACAAGCTGGTCAGTCACCGAGTGCAGTGGATAATGAGGGCTGTGTGTGCTGCATAATTACTGATGGCTTGAAGAAGTGCGGAGTACCTCTGCTCTGCGCGGGTTCGGACCGTGCAGTGCTAATTTCATTGCCCCCTCCCCATCACTCACACGGAAGCTGCTCTTAGCATCAAGAGCCGGGGTGAAATAGCACGGAGAAGTTCCTTAGCGCTAGGCGAAGTGTGCCGTGCCATGACGTTGCAGAGATCCTTTCTATTTAGTTGGCGAACAATAAACGTTTATTATCACCGCGGCAGATCATCAGACAAAGCTTCCCCCTCCCGCCTCCCCCAGGCACGAGCGCTGCTGATAAGGGAACCGCTCCGGGTGACAGGCAGAGCCGCAGGCGCCATTCGGAAATAACTTCTTTTATTATTGTTATTTTTCCCCCGGTTCGCCTTTTGCAAACCCTGGCAGGGCGGCGGCAGGTGTCAGGGCGGAGGTGCGCTGCCGCCGCCCCCGCCCGCCGCCGCGGAGCCGCCTGCCCGGCTCGGCGCCTCGCAGCCGCCCCGCTCCGCCGCTCGGGCACGCGCGGCGAGCACGGAGTGCGCCGAATCTCTACTTTGAAGCCTTTTTCGCCTTAGATTTTGTGGCTCTAGGAGGCCTGATAGAGGAGTGCCTCTGCTGAGATCGGAGCCTTTGCTATTTTTTTCTTTGATTTTTTTTTTTTTTTTCCTCTCCATTGCCTTCCTTTCCGCCCTCCCTCCTCTTGGTAGCACATCGAGTCAGTGTGAGTCAGGACTCGTAAAATGCATTTCCAAAGCTCAGATGAAAAGTCTCTCAGGCGTGTCTGCTGCTTTATCGGAGCTTTCCCAAGCCCACCTATGCAAACAGATTTGTAATATTTGTGTGCTTAACCGTGCATCTCTTTTACAGGAATCTGTTGCTGCGTATGACATCTCTTGCAAGCTCCCAGAGAGAATTGATGGCGCATACAGCTAGGGAATAGGATACCAGAGAAGCACAGAGGAAGAATCCAGGCAATCACCAGGTAAAGTCAGCCTTACTTTGATTTATTTCCTTTCATCTCGCCTGCAAGCTCTTGCCCACTCCAGTAAGGGAGCAGGAGAGCAGAGGGACTGTACCTGTGTGTATTAAATGCCTACTCGTCTCGTTCGCTTTCTTAGGATGGGAAGGTTCAGCGTCCACTGGATATGGGACAAGATCGCTTGGCAACCCTTGTGGATTCTCCTTCTTCTGGAGGCGAATTATAGTTATGGATTTATTGTCCCGGTGCAGCACTTCCACCAGCAGCAGCAACAGCAGCAGCTTTCTGACTCTCTTCGGTGACGGGTATTCTTGGGTGGATAATACGGATTACGTTGTTATTGCTTAAGAATACGCGTAGTCGAGGAGAGTACCGGCGGCGGGCAGGCAGGCAGGCAGCGCGACCGCCCCCAGCCCACCAGCTGGCTCCTCACCTCCTCTAGTTGCCAAGGTAGCACCTTTTCCATCTTTTCCTACGCTTTGCAATGTTTCATTCTGTGTCTCTGCCCGGGCGGGGGGAGCTCGAACGCCCTGTCTCTTGCGGAGGGGGGTGCCCGCTGTGTGTGCGTGCGTGGGAGCAAGCCCAGGGCTGGGGAGGGCCGCGGCAGGCTGGCCAAGCTCCTCGGCAGAGGGTGGCCGGGGGAGCCGCGGCCGCTGCGGGCTGCGCCCTCGCGGGCAGCGCTCTTTAGGCTGCGCCGGGGCCGGGGGACGGCTCCCGCCCCGTCCGGGCAGCCCCGGTGCCCCGCCACTCGGTCGGCAGCCCCCAGCCCGCTCCGTCCGCGGCCCCTCGCCCCTCTCCCGCGTGGGACGCGGATGGGGAGCCGAGGCGGCCGGCCTCGCCTGCCAGGGGTCCCTCCCACGGGACGCGGAGTGCCCGCAGGGCCGCGGCGGCCCCGGCTCCGTGCGCGGCCCCGGCAGAGCGCGGGCTGCCGCCCCGCCGGCGCTCACGGCCCCGCGCCCGCAGCGGCCGAGGCGTGCGGGGCTGGGGTGCCCGCGGGCGGGCAGGTGCCGAGCACCCCGTGCTAGCCAGGCGAGGGACAGCCCGCACGGCCACAGAGCGCCCGACGCCCGGGGAACCCCTCTTCCCCGGCTGCCGAGGGGCTCGGCCGTCCAGCGGGGCCGCTCCGGGGAGCAGTTTGAGGCCGCTTGCTTTCAATGAAAGCAGTGCCCCTCTTGCTCTTTTACCCTCACCCTGCAACCTGGTGAGGGCAGGATTAAGAATCCACATTCACACCAGCTCCAGCCCAGCAGAGTTTATCAGATTCTGAGGCCCCAGATTGAGACACAAGTTCAGAGCCAGAGCTGAGGGTTTTTTTCCCCTGTGGTTTATTTGTGCCCTTTTCAAGAGCTCAGGACTCCCCAAATGCTACTTGCAGCTGGACAGGTGGGAGACACAACTAAGGGAGTGCTGATTCCTATAACTGGCCAGGACGTGCCCCATCGCTTTCACGCAGAAAAAGTGCGTCTGTCCTTCTCTCCAATCTCAGCAGCAGGGTACAGGATTTGATTAAAACCCTGATCAGTCTTTCAGATGTTGTGCTTAGGGAAATCCAGGCATAGCATTCATAGTTTCTGTCTTTTTCCCCCCTGCTCCTCTGCTCACAAGCCTGGCAGGAAAAGGAGCAGGGTGTGATCATGCCTGTCTTTTGCCATCCAAGGCCTCTCCACATGCCCATATGATCCTAGGTCTTGTTGCCATGTAGTCACAATTGTAAGACCAGATTTCAGCCTTAAGTGAATTAGATCAGAAGCCATTTTAAAGCAAGACCAGGAGTCCTGTGATAAAACAGCCTTTTTAAATGTATCCTTCCCCAACTTCCACTATGATGGGGCTAGGAATGATTTTTAATGTGGACAAGCCAGACGTGGGGTGATCGTTGACAGCACGAGGTGGGCTGATGGAGAATGTCTTTCTCTCTGACTCTTGCTTAGAGATTTAAATGCTGTCAATGTTCTACTTAATAATTTCCAACAACTGCCAAAGCAATCTTAGTCTGTTGCCTTTAGTAGTGAGTGGAGTGCTGGTTGTAACACAGACGTGTGGATCTGTTATTCTTTAGACACATCTTTGATGCTAGCACTCTGATCCTTGTGTTTCTCTAATATCACTTGAAAGCAGATTTTTTTCCTTGTAGTTTAGTATGTTCAACAGCCTCAGAAAAAATGTTAAATTATGCTTTAAAAAGACATGATCGGCTGCTAAGCCATAGTCAGTTCAGCACCGTAACACAGCCACATTCACAAGTGCTGCAGGAACAGCGATGGAAACACTGTTTTAAAATCCAGGTTTGTATTACAAACCTTCCTCCGGTCAGAGCTTTTAGTTTACATTTTCCATTGAGTCATGACTTAGAATATTATTAAGAGTTCCCATTTCATTACATGAAGAGCATGGATTTGTTTGCTCTTTGCTTGGTTGAGTGCCTTGTGTAGTATGTACTGGAGTTAGCAAATGGCTCTTTATACTTGGTTTCTTCTAGTTGCTTTCTGTAAAGCATGATGAAATGGTTTTGCTGAATAATGCCTTAATGACAGGGCTGATGCATTTTTAATGCATGTACTCTTTGTCATTGTCAAAATTAACATTTTGATGATTGTAGATTTCTCTTCTCTAAAATCTCTAAAATCTTTTGGGAATTGCTTTGCTATGTGGGTTAAAAGAGTTAAAGTGTAGGATCCAATTGGAGAAATACTGGATATGCTTACCAAAATGATTCTAGAATATTGTATAAATGCTCAGTGTGGACTCTTGGATGATGTTTCCAGTAGCATGACCTCAGAGGGACTCCCCCCATTTATTAGTAGTTCCAGGGGTCTGTCACATATACATATTGAAGGACAGAAGGGGTCATTTCTGAACAACAGACGTCTAAGTAGTGACTATTCATGCTGTGGGTCTGATCCTGGCAATGCACGTAGCTTCCATGGGACTGCTCAAGAAAGCAAGCTTGCTCATGTTAAATCCAAAATATTTAGGGCCAAATCCTACTATCCAGTGCAACAGCAAAGTCCCAATTGATTGCACTGTGGGAAAGATTAGACCCCTAGTGAAAGGGATTTTTTTGCAATGCTAGGCTTCCTACTTTGCTTTAGAAATTGCGAATTCTGTGTGCTAAAAAAAATAAGTCTAAAACCTCTCTGCCTCTAGTAGTCAAATAATAGTTCATTAATGGCAAAAATTACACTAAAAGTTTATAGTGGAACATTGTAAAAAATTACTTAAATAAGGGAGTTTAATTGTTTCAGTATGAGCACTTCCTAAGACATTTTAGAATGAGGTTTGTGGCAGCACCAACTGTGCATTAACAGCTATTTTGGTGAGGGCATATTTAATTAATTCAGAATGCTAGATTTCTGTTTTAAAATGGCTTTTGTAATCTGCATCCTGGTAGAAAATCAAATTAAAAATTTACCCCAACAATAATTACTTGAACTTAGCCTTGTCTTTAAAGGCCATAATCCTAGGAAGATTTATATCTCTGGTAATTTTCTCTGCTGGAGTAGCCTTGAAGGCTGCTGCCATAGGTAAGTGTTTGTCACGCCAGGGCCCCCAGAGCGGCCCAGGCGGTTGTTGATGGCAGAGCAGGCGCTGGTGTGGCAGCGGCCCTGGTGCAGCGCAGGTGACACTGTGACACTGGCTGTCCCCCACCCTGCCCGGGCCTTCCCAGAGCGGGGAGCTGCCCGAAGGACTGAGTGTATCTCTGGGCACACCGGGCACATCATGCCCCATGGCAGGAGTGCGAGTACAAAGAGTAGTTTTGGTCCCTGCAGTCCTGTGCAGGCAGGGTCACAGCCCTGCCTGGGTCTACCCACAGTGTGAAGAATTTCTCTGCTTAGCAGTACCCTAAATTAAGTGTAGGGACTGCCACTGGACTTCAGGTGCTCTTTCCAGAAATATTTAAAACTACAGCTGTTACATATGTATATATCCCTGAATGGTATAAATATACTTATTTACACACAGGCAGCCCTCTCTGAATTCAGAGAGCCTAGAGCATAGCAGAAAAGCCCCATTTTCCCAGACCTGACAGAGGCACAACACCCACTCACCTCAGCAGGAGCCATGCTGTTGCAGTGGGTATTTATGACCTGTGTTATGATTCCTCTTGCTGCTGCAAATTTGCCTAAAATAAATGCCCACAGTGGTGCATGTAGATGTGTACAGCTATGCAGATGTTTTTACTTTCTGTTTTTAAGACTACATATGATTTTGAGGGGAGTGTAAGTTTTCTTCCCATAACAAGCTGTTGTCTTCTGTGTCAGTTTAGGTGGCTTCTAGTGTTCATAGGTTTTCCTTGAGGGAACTGAAAACAGTAATATCTATACATCCACGCTGCTCCACAGATACTTCGCAGCTGGAAGAATAAGCTAACTAGCCTCTTTCTATGCCTTTTTACATCACACTAGCTGTAACGTACACAACGGATTTTTATGCACTTTTTACACTTTTTACTTTTTGTGCACTTTACGTACACAAAAGGGTTTTTCTTCTCTTCCTTTTAATAGATCACTATTTTTCTGAAAAGCATCGACCCCAGGTATTACCCATAGCTGTTATGACACCTCACCATTTAGTGTTGTAATGGTAAATCATAACACTCATTATTAAGAGCCATGAATTTTTACCAGAATCATCATCTACCTCCTGAAAGCTTTAATGGTAGAAGCATTTTCTGGGCTAACGCCCATGATGATTACATGTTTTTTATTGCTATCATTTAGTAACCAAATTGCTCAAAAATCAAAGGACCTGATTATCCCATACCTGCAATGCATAAAGCTATTTATAAATGTTGGCTCGATAATAACAATGACTCAAGAGAAATTTAAATGACAGGCCAAAAATAAGTAGTCTAAAAGTGAAAAAACAAGCCAGAATTCATAGAGGTGATGGAAAGAGTCTGACTGCAAAGGACAGAGAGGATCCTGAGGAAGGTAAAGAGAAGAGTCGAGGAGGTGATGGTAGCAGGTAGATGTGACCCAGCTTTTCAGAGGGCAGAGGAGGGGTGAGGCACCAGGGACTGTAGGTGAGGAGGCATCGCAGTGTGGCACTGGAAGTATGTACCAGAAGGGTAGAAACCAGGCCTTGAACACAGGTTTGGTAGTTTGCTTTCTGGAACAACAGTATCTAGTTATGAGCAGCCAACCACAAATTAGGTGAAGTATTCCAGAAAGTAGAGTGGGTTGATTGATGGAAAAAATAAGAGCCTTGAAAAACCTGAAAGGTGGTTTATATGTATTTTTATATATACACACGCACATATAAATATATATGACTACACATATCTAACCAAAATTACATAGTAATGCCCATATAGATAAATGAAATGAGTATCCTGCTTTTGAAATCATTCTCCTGCAGAAACCAGCAGGAAAGCAGTGTAGCCTGGTGTGTGCAAATAGACCTAGAAGCTATGTACAGAGAAAATGCAGCATGGCTATCAAGAAACA